ATCTCTTCTAACAGTACACTCAATTAGAGGATGATTCAGAATAATCCAATTATCCTCCCAAAAATTAATACTAGTACCATCACCCAGCTCCCAGGTTAATTTATCCTCCATATCCTTCCAAACTCTACACAAATTCTTCCAGAACACTGAATCTGCATTTGAAGACTTAAACACACCAGCCCTTCGGGAATTAGCAGCATACTTGGCATGTAAAACTTTAATCCAAAGCTGATCTGTTGCTGACATAAACATCCAAGCTCTTTTAGCAAGAAAAGCATCATTCATTACCTCCAACCGTTTCAAACCCAGACCACCATCCTTTTTAGACTTCGTGATGATCTTCCAACTAACCAAATGATGTTTCCTCATATTATCCTTGTCTCCCCAAATGAAATCCCTTTGAATCTTTTCTATCTTCATGCAAATAGAAGTAGGGATCTTGGTACTCTGCATTTGAAAGTAAGGAATAGCTGCTAAAACAGAATTTGTCAAAGTAATGCGACCAGCTTAAGATAAACTTTGTTGATTCCAAACATTTAACTTGCCTTTTATTTTCTCAACAATTCCATCATAAATATCCTTAGAAACCCTGCCATGTCTCATCATTGACCTAAGATATCGGCCAATATTTTTAACATGTTTAAAACCACTCCTCTGAATAATATTAGCAATAACCTCAACATCTGTATTTTTAGAAAAATAAATACTAGTCTTCTCCACACTAAGACTTAGACCCAACGCTTCTTCAAAAAGAGAGAGACATTTATAGAGTACCTCAAATTGATCAACACTAGCTTCCATAAACACCATGAGGTCATCGGCAAAAGCAAGATGGGTAATTTGAGGACAACCTTTGCCAACACGGATAGGCTTCCACATTCCACTATTCAAAGCAGTCATGAAAATATAAGTTAATTTTTCCATAGCAAGGACAAACAAATAGGGAGAAAGGGGATCACCCTGTCTAATGCCCCTAGATGGACTAAATTCACTAGTCTTACCTCCATTCCAAAGCACATTGATTTTGGAAGACTCCACACAACTCATGATCAGATGGACAAAAAACTCAGGGAAAGAAATCTCACCTAAGACACTTCTCAGAAAATTCCATGAAAGTTTATCATAAGCCTTGACCAAGTCAATTTTAATTACCATAAACGCTTTCATACCCTTCATCTTATGCATTGAATGTACTAACTCCTGGAAAATTATTATGTTATCCTGAATTTGTCTATTAGGAACAAAACTCACCTGAAATGGAGCAACCAGATTCTCCATCAAAGGCTTCAATCTCTGCACAACCATTTTGGACAGGAGCTTATACAAGACTGAACAAAGGGAAATTGGTCTAAACTGAGAAATAAACTTGGATTCTTCACTTTTGGAATCAACACCGAAAGAGTAAAATTAATCGCAGCCACCAAAGAAGGATTGGACTGAATTCTTCTGACTGAATCAATAATTTAACAATTCACAAACTTCCATTGTCTTTGAAAGAACACAGCAGGAAATCCATCCACTCCAGGAACTTTAAAAGCTCCCATAGACTGCAAAATACTAGAAATCTCTTCACTAGTAGGCATCCTTATCATATTCGGATGCAACAAGCGTCCAGGAACTATAAGAAGATAACCACCTATGCGTACTAGATTCCTCAGTAAACATATTCCTATATGGTTGATCAAGTCATATAAGAACTTAAATAAATAAATCGGGATAAACAAATAACAATAGAGACAGAGTTTTATTGAAAAACAATTTAAATCAAGTAAAAGTAGTGATTGGATCTATATCCTTAACTACTAAGAAAATTGGCCAGACATATTCATGTTTGGCTTTGACAAAAATTGTCAAAAGAAAATTAAAAGACAATTAATCTAAATTCCTGGATGAAGAATGATGTTGAATCTCCATGTTTTCACTTTAATCCTCTTTCATTTTTTCACTGTCTCTGATCTCTGAGTTCTCTGAGCGTTCTTCAGCTCCGTTCCAGCCTCCAATCTCTCTCTTCCCAAAATCCCCAATACCTTCGTTTCCAAAATATTTTCTTTTTATATTAAAGAGAAACTTTCCTTTCAAATCTTTAATTAAATCTTCAAAATATCTTAGCCCATTAAATATGATTCCTCCTCAAAATAAATCCAAAGTTGCTTTTTTCTTATTGATAAACAAAAATTTTCTTTTTTGTTTTATTTAAAATCAAATCTGCATTGTAAAATCAATTTTGCATAACTTTGCTTCAATGGCGCCTTTAGCGCCAACTTGTGTGAGAAAATGGCACTTTTAGCGCCACCCAACAGAAGCTAATTAACCTACGCCAAAATGAGAGAGAGAATGGCGCCTTTGGCGTCATTTTTGCATTCTTTACAGAAAGGTTGAAATTTAGTGAGAGAAAATGGCGCCTTTGTCGCCATATGACCGCTTGTAATTCCTTGTGTCATCTTGTGAGGAGATTTGATGGCTGGAGCGCCACTTCAGAGAAAGGTTGGAATTTTGGCACCTTTGGCGCCACATTGTTAGAGATATTGGCGCCTTTGGTGCCATGAGCTTGAAACTTGGCAAGTACCACTTTCTCATGCTTTCTTTGCAGGCCTTCTTTTGGCTTTCCAATTGGTATTCTTTAATGAGAAAAATTCTTAATTTCATGAGAGTATTCCTGAAAGTGAATCAATAATTATATCATAATTTCTATATATTTTGGTTGCATTTTAATTTAATTAATTGCTCAATTTGACCCTTAAGACATACTGGATTAAAGACTTATCAGAAAGTTCAAACATAAGAGGATAATAAACAAGAGGAGTATTTGAAGGTTCAGACACGGGAGGATCAGAAATAAGAGGTGTAGGAGTAGACATAGAAGATCCAGACTCAAAGAAGGAAGATGATGAGTTTGCTGAAGAACTGCTCTCCTCCTGAAGATAAGGACCTAGGAAAAAGGACTCAAATTCATGAAAGGTAACATCCATAGAAAAAAATTGACTGGCAGGATGATAACACTTGTAGCCTTTCTTATCATGGCATAACTAAGGAAGACACACTTAAGAGCCCTAAGATACAACTTACTGCGATGTTGTTTATGAACATAGACAAAGGCAACATATCCAAACACATGCGGCTGAAGACTCTGCATAATGGGAACAGAAGGAAAGTAGGAAGTCATGGAATGAATATGACAAGTATTGTTAAGGACTCGTGAAGGTATGCGGTTGATCAAAAAAGCTGCAGTGAGAATAACATCTCCATAGTAGCAATTGGGTACATGATTCTGAAAAAGTAAGGCGCGAGCAATTTCAAGATGACAATTTTTTCTCTCAACAACCCCATTTTGTTGAAGGGTGTCCACATAAGTAAGTTGATGAATCTTTCCCTTATCATGAATAAATTGGGAAAGACACCAATTGACATATTCTATACCATTATCAAACCTTAGTCTTTTAATTCTCTTACGAAATTAAGTCTCAATCATTTTATAAAATTGAAAGAATAATTGTCATACCTCAGACTTCTCATGCATAAAGTAAATCTAGGTTACACGAGTACAATCATCAATAAAAGAGATAAACCATTTTTACCAAAAATACTAGGGACTTTATAAGGACCCCAACCATCAGAATGAATAATATCAAAAGGCTCAACACTTTTAATGGTACTAGAAGGAAAAGAGACACAATGATATTTAGAAAACCCATAAACATCACAATGAAAAAACTCAACAAACTTAGACAAAAATAATGATAGAAATAAAGACATAAGCAATTTAGATCCTATTATGGACCTGAGTGAGGCCCATATCCATAGAAGGCCCAAATGATACAAGCCCAAAGGTAAGCACTATAAATAGGAGCTGAAGACCACATGTATGACTCATCTTTTTCAAACCTATTTTATGCAATCACACAGCACGCACACACCCCCTTTGGCTAAGGTCGTCGATTAGTGTGTAGTGATTCGCTACCCTCAAGATACCTAATTCATAGGTATCTAGAGAGAAAGCACTAGATCCAATATCAACTATCTAACATGCGGTTAGACATCTCTGCCTCAGGCAGAACATTAGCACCGTCTGTGGGAGCCGTCTTCCTACAATCACGTGGTTAAAAGCCACCCATTAAAATGGTGAGGACGACAAAAGTGGTTATTGGCAGCCCTCGAGGTTGAATCTTATGCACCAGCCAATTCCCCCGATCAGGGAGGATCCATTAGGACAACACGTCATTTAGGATCATCAACAGCTAAACACCAACGTTGTGCACATTAGCGATGTGCACTCTGATTCAGCATCAATTCTAGCGGTTAATCTAAATGCCCCGTATGTAGAGGGGCAACAACCAATTGAGGGACAGGTCGCAAATGTTGCGCAGATGCCGAACGGTGCAGCCAATGATCCGCAGGTGACAGATCTGGCCGTCGTCGCGATGCTTCGAAGAATGAAAGAGATGGAGAGAAGGAATGAGCTCTAGAGGCAAGAAGATGCTAGTCACATTCGAGAGTTGAAAACTTGGTTATGGCGAGTCTCCAACCCGGATCCTGCACGAGCTATTACGCAGGTCATGACTGACCTGAGGATCACGAATCTACAGCAGAACAACAATGATAGAACCCAGAGTCAGGCGAGAAATGTTGATGACCGGCCTCAAAGGGTCGTTACTAACCCGGTTCGTAATCAAGAACCTCGATAAGAAGGAATCTGAGGTGATGTGAGGGATACAATAAGGCACAGAGGTTCTCCCTTGCCCATAGACGATAGGCAGCAATTCAGGATCTCGGATGATGTGTTCAGGATATGCAGGAGAAAATACAAGAGGGGGCAATACAATGACAGCCCTTTTATGGACGAGATTGTCGATGCACCCTTCGCAGAGAATCTGAACTTATCAGAACTCCTCAAATATGATGGAACCCAGGATCTCCAAGTACATTTGGATGCTTTTGATACGGCCATGTACATCAAGCGGATAGAAGAATCTTTGATCACATGACTTTTTGTAACAACGTTGATGGGAGCAGCTCAAACGTGGTTTTCGTCATTGCCAGCAGGGTCCATCAGATCCTTCGAAGAATTTGGTGGAAGATTCCTGCTGAGTTTTGCTACAAGCAAGAAACAACCAAAGTCAAAATTCGCGCTGGGGAAAATAAGGCAACAACCCGATGAAACCTTACAAAGATACTTGGATAATTTTAAAATGGCAGCCTTGCAAGTTCCGGGACTGTCTGAAAATGTCCACCTATACCTAGTGATAGCAGGATTGCATGGTTCCTCTAGATTGGCCAAGTCTATATACAAAGACCCAGTTCGAACGCTGGTATGGTTCACAGGCCGGTCAAAGAAGTATCTGGAGCTTGAACAGATGGAGATTGAGAACATGGATCAGAAGCATAATCCTAACCAGATAGATAAGCCTGGAAATCAAAGGCAAAATGAATTCCGGGGTAAAAAACAAGACGAAAGAATTCCAGCAAGGGGAAGATTCGAGAAGTACGCGCCCTTAAATTCACCAAGGTCACAAATCTGGAGAGAGGTGACCTCCACCGAGATGAAAAAGGTTGATAGACCTCGGCCTTTGCTGAACCAAGCCGAGTTAGACCGTCGGTATTGTGCGTTTCATGATAGACCCGGGCACACTACAGATGGATGCTGGGATTTGAGAGACGCAATTGAGAAATATATCAGAGACGGTAAGCTGCGTTAGTATTTAACAAGGACTCAAGGATGGAGGAACAACAGGAAAAGAAGAGTCGGCCTATAAGTCCGCCAAAAGAAAAAAGATTCAAAGAAGATAGTCGGGATACGAAGCCGGCTAAAGAAGAGGATGAATTTATGGAACCAGAGTTTGAATGTAATGTGATTAGTGGAGCTTTCAGCGGAGGAGGTGATACCATGAATGCTAGAAGGAAACACTTAAGAGAAGTGCTTTCAATTTGAGAGCGTCCTAAGTTCAAAGATGAAGCTAAACCAGAACTGCCATTACTGTACTTCACTAGGGAAGAGTTGGAAGACGTGATGCCGGAACATGTTGACAGGTTGGTCATTACAGGGACGCTAGTCAATTGCAGAGTCAAAAAAATCTTTGTAGACAATGGAAGTTGTGCCGACATAATTTTATGGCAGGCGTTTAAAAAGATGAACTTGGATGAGAAAGACCTGAAGCGCTGCAACAATGCCCTGATTGCGTTCAATGGCCGTAATACCTTTCCCAAAGGATACATTGACCTTAGGTTGATCCTAGGATCGAAAGAGGCATACAAATCGGAAAGGGTACGGTTCATTGTAGCCGACTTCCCATCGGAGTATAATGTGATATTGGGAAGGCCAACTATTCATAATTGGGATATGTTGGTTTCCACCAAACATCAGAAAATTAAGATGATTGGTAAACAGAACACAGTGATCACCATTGCAGGAGACCAGAAGGAGTCTCGAGACTGTTATTTCAAGTCAGTTAAAGCGGTGGACAGTGGTCCTAGGGGTGTCAATATAGGTTATGACACGTGGGTCGACCCGCAACACGACACGAAAATTCGTGTTCGGGTTGACTCGTAAAAAAATTTGTGTCGTGTTCTTGTTGGGAAAAATGACACGTAAAAAATTCGTGTCGTGTTCGTGTTGAGGTATTCGTGTTCGTGTCGACCAATTTTTTTTAATTATTTTATTTTTATTTTTAAAATTTTGAACCATTTTTTTAATTTTTTTTGTCAATTACCGTTTTGATCCCTATTTTGCGTGTTATTCGTGTCGTGTCGTGTCAACCCGCAAAAAATATGTGTTGTGTTAGTGTTGAAGATTTTGAAATGAATAAAAATCCGTGTCGTGTTCGTGTTGATGTATTCATGTCGTGTCAAATTCGTGTCGTGTCAACCCGTTTTGACACCCCTAAGTGGTCCTAAACCTTCAACTGAGATCAACAAAAGTAACAACAGTCAGGTCGGTCCAAGCCAGAAGGAAAAAACATCAATAAACATGGTGGAATTAGACATAAGGGATAATACCCGGATGCCAAGACCAAAACCCAACGGAGAGTTAGAAGAAGTAACCATTGGAGAGCTGGGCCAAACTACCAAGATCGGAAAAGGATTGACAGATGATGTGAAAGAACAGCTCGTGACATGTTTGAGAAACAACAAGGACGTCTTTGCCTGGAAGTCGACAGAAATTTCGCGGGTAAACACTGCTTTCTGTTGCCATAAATTGGATGTGTATCCAGGATCCAAGCCGGTAGCTAAGAAAAAAAGGAAGCTCAGCCCCGAACGTCAGCAAGTATTGGAAGATCATGTTAAGGAGCTATTGGAAGCAGGTTTTATCCGAGAAATACATTATACCACCTGGTTATCCAATGTGGTAATGGTTAAAAAGCCAACTGGAAAGTGGAGAGTATGCATGGATTATACCGACCTTAATAAGGTATGTCCAAAGGACGCATCCTATGCCCAACATAAACCAGTTGGTTGATAGCTCCTCCGGGTTCCAGATGTTGTCCTTCATGGACGCCTACTCTGGGTATAACCAAATACTGTTACATCCTGAGGACCAGGAAAAAACAGCGTTCATCTCGGAAAAGGAAAACTATTGTTATAATGTAATGCCTTTTGGGTTGAAAAACTCAGAAGCCACTTATCAAAGAATGATGAACCAAGTGTTTGCAGACCAGCTAGGCAAAAGTGTTGAAGTACATAGATGCCATGATAGTCAAGTCATTGGACTCAACGATTCACATTGAAGATTTGGAGCAGACATTCAAAAAATTAAGGCGGCATAGCATTTGGTTAAATCCAGCAAAATGGGCCTTCGGGGTCTCCGCGGGAAAGTTCCTTGTCTTTATGCTGACTCAGAGGTATTTAAGCTAATCCGGATAAATGCAGAGCCGTGCTAGAGATGAAGGCTCCTACGAGCAAGAAGGAGATACAATAATTAACAGGAAGATTGGCCTCCCTTACTAGGTTTCTACCTCGATCTGCAGAGACAACATTACCTTTCTTCAAGTTACTTAGAAAGGAGGTGCAGTACGGGTGGACTTCAGAATGTGAAGCCGCGTTCCTAGAGATATAGAGGCAGCTGGCTTCCCCGCTAGTTTTAACAAAACCAAGGGAAAAAGAAACTTTGATAATGTATCTCTCTATAGGTGACATAGTTGTCAGTTCGGTCCTAGTACAAGAAAATGAAGAAGAACAACAGTCAATTTACGAACAAGGAGTAGAGCTCAGATATCAAAAGTTAGAAAAAATGCCCTTTGCCTTACTGATTTCTGCTAGAAGACTCAGACCATATTTCCAGGGACATAAGATCGTGGTCAGGTCAAATTTGCCAATTTGGCAGGTTCTTCACAAGCCTGATCTAGCAGGTAGAATGATGAGCTGGGCTGTGGAACTATCAGAGTTTGATATAACATTTGAAAGTCGTAAAGCAATCAAATCCCAAGCACTGGAGGATTTTGTCAGGGAGCTTACTTCAATCCAAAATGAGAATTCGAACAGCCCGGATACTTGGAAAGTATATGTAGATGGCTCCTCCAACTCAAAAAGGAATGGAGCCGGGGTCATAATCGAGAACCCAGAAGGTATAGCGATTGAGTACTCCATGCAAATGGGTTTTGAAACATCAAAAAACCAGGCAGAATACGAAGCCTTTATAGCCGGCCTTCAGCAGGCTAAGGAACTCGGAGCACAAAGGCTGCAGGTTTATAGTGATTCTCAATTGGTCACCTCCAAAATTGAAGGGAGTTATCAAGCTAGGGGACCATTGCTGACGAAAAATTAGGACTCTGCTAGGCAGCTAATGGCAGAGTTTGAAAAGGTGGAGGTCAATCATATTCTGAGGAACAAAAACAGCAGGGCTGATATATTCTCTAAACTAGCAAGTACCAAAGGGTGGGGAAACCATAAAACAGTGGTTGAACAGAGTATCCCAGAACCCACATGTGTAATGCAAATATCAGAGGTAGATGATTGACATTTCATCATCATCGACTATTTAGAAAATGAGACGCTACCCTCAGGAAAGGAGGAAGCCAAGAAGTTAGTCAAAGATGCAGCGCTATATATACCATGGTGGAAGGGCAGCTATACAGAAAGGGTATTTATTCACCTTTGCTGAAGTGCTTGAACTCGGATAGGGAAAAATATGTCCTGTCTGAAATCCATGAAGGAATTAATGGCCAACATGTTGGAGGTAAAGCTTTAGCTCGAAAAGCAGTTAGAGCTGGTTATTTCTGGCCATCCATGAGTAATGATGCAAAAGAGGATGTGCAGAAGTGTGATCAATGCCAGAAGCACGAAAAGAACCTGTTGGCTCCCCCAGAAGAATTAAGTTTAATTACAGCACCGTGGCCATTCTTTAAATGGGGAATGGATCTTTTGGATCCATTTGCAGCAGCATAAGGCCAATTAAAACGGTTAATAGTGGATGTTGACTACTTTACTAAATGGATAAAAGCAGAGCCGGTTGCTACTATCACCTCGGCTAAAGTCCAACGTTTCTTTGAGCGAAATTTAATTTGCAGGTTCGGGATCCCAGCTGAGGTAGTTACTGATAATAGAACCCAATTCATAAGCAAAGCCTTCCAGGAATTGATGGCAAACCTTCATATCTGGCATCGCTTCGCATCAGTAGAGCATCCCCAAACTAACGGTCAAGCAGAAACAGCTAATCAAGTCATCATAGAAGGATTGAGGAAAAGAATAGAGCAATCTGCTAAGGGGAAATGGGTAGAAGAGCTATATTATGTACTCTGCGGATACAGAACCACAATACAGACATCCACAGGGGAAAGCCCATTCAAGTTAACTTATGGATGTGAGGCCATAATTTCGATGGAATTAGGAGAGGCGTCCTGGAGAAGAGTCCAAGTGCTATCACAGACTGAAGAAGAAAATAGTAATAAAATTGCGATGGGGCTAGATTTGATAGATGAGGTATGGGTTATGGCCCATTGCAAAAACCTCGCAGCCAAACAACTCATTGCTAATCGATTCAATAAAAAGGTGAAGCCTAGATCGTTTGCAAAAGGAGATTTGGTTCTTCATCGAGCAGACATCGGAGGACGAAATGCGGCTGAAGGAAAGTTAGCCCCAAAGTGGGAAGGGTCGTTCAGAATAAAAGAAAAGCTGTCAAAAGGATCCTATATGTTGGAGACTCCACAAGGGAAGAGCATTAAAAGAACATGGAATGCAGACAAGTTGAAGAAATATTTTAGCTAAAAAAAAAATCTATTCAAGTTGAAGGGGGGACATTTGAAATTTTATTGTTATTTCAAGTTGCTTATGAATAAATTGAAATAAGTAATGTTCTTTTTTCAAAAGATCTAATATCTATTTGAAATCTAAGGTATTGGAACTCGTCTTGCCAATATGGCAAGAATAGTGAGTTCTAGCCAGGAAACAAATTCGATTTGTCAACATGGCAAGAATAGTGAGTTCTAGCCAGGAACAAATCTGAGGTATTAGAACCCGTCTTGCCAACATAGCAAGAATAGTGAGTTCTAGCTAGGAAAAAATCTGAGGTATTGGAACCTGTCTTGCCAACATGATAAGAATAATGAGTTCTAGCCAGGAAACAAATCCGGGGTATCGAAACCTGTCTTGCTAAAATGGCGAGAATAGTGAGTTCTAGCCAGGGGCCAGACCAAGGTATTTGAACCCGTCTTGTAAATAACGAGAACATGGGTTCTAACCGAGGTGGGTTAAATAGGACAACAAG